CACTGTTTTTCAACAGACAAAACTTTACACCAAAAAATGTGCAAGGGGAGAGCAATTTTGGTGTTTTTTTTCAGTTGGCCCTGGCTAAGCATCAGTCCCTGGGTCCTTATGACAAGATGTTAGACACATGGCTCAATTGTGACAAGCTACAGAAATATCTTTTGCCAATTTATGAAAGGCTGTCTGACCCTAAACTAATTAGTAGATTTGTTTCAGGAAAAACTCAGAATTTAAATGAGTGTTTACACAGCCTGATCTGGGCTTGCTGTAGTAAAAACAAGTTTGCCTCACTCAAACGCATTCAGTTTGCAGTTGTAACTGTGGTGCTGTTGCTTCTTAAGACACAGCCCAGTTTTTTTTATTTTCAGGCCTGCATATGAATAGACGGAGCATCTAGGATGCAGAAGAGAGTTGGAAATAGCTTGAAGTATAACAAGGACAAGCAGACTAAGAGACGCGACAGTGTACAAACTGCCAAACAGATAAGGCAAGATGAACTAGATGCCCTAGAGTGAGGTCTGCATATGCAGCAGGATTGTTCTAATGATTGTGTAATATCAGAAACTGTTTTTTTTTTCTGTGCAAAACAACATGTAAAATCACGAAAATAATTTTGTTAGTATAATAAAACATCAGAAAATTCCTTTTTCCTCCGTTTGCTACTTTTGACAGTTTTGCAGTGTGGGAATTTTTCTAAAAACACTGCCTGTCTGATTATAATGTAACTTTGTAGACTCATTTAAATTTTTTTTACTTATGCAAAAACAAGAGCATTTGTGAAACAAAGATTAAGTTTTTGTGCAGCAGTCGGAAAACCACAAAAAATTGTCTAAAAATATACGCTAAATTTGTTAAAAACTAGGCAGACAATAAATGGTAAGTGATTTCACAAAAACTTTCCACAATTGTCTAAAGGGGCTATAAGTGTATAAATATTTTAAAAATTGAGCCTGTAAATACAAAAATAGTGGTTTTAGACATTTTGCAAGAAATCCAATATGGCCATTATTTATCTTGGTTTCCAAAGCAACCATTGAGTGCACAGTATTTTATCAATTACAGGTTTTCAACATAAAACCCATACCAGAAAGTGGAAATGAAATAGTATACAATTTAGTTTTAAAAGGTTAGGATCGCCTAAATGAATTTGCAAAACCAACAAAAGTATTTTTTGGCTGTTTGATTTTATTTTATATTCAGTAGTTTGCCACTGTTTTCTGAAGGGTCTGCAAGGCAGTCTGCTGCCAAATCACACACATCTAGGATTAAAACTCAGTTTAATAGTTAACAGCTTAACAATAATGGTGAGGTTAAGTTGTGTTTGGTTACTCTGAATAGTTTACCTTATGTTCAAAATACTATGCTCAAATATCAGGGTCCATAGCCAAATTTACCAATCAATTTCAAGGCTTTTCAAGGTCTCCTTAGTTTTTTTCAAGGTTGTCTCGGTGTAATACTGAAACAAGATTTTTGCCTTGTTCAAGGGTGTACTGAGCACACAAGGTACTTCATTTGTGCCACATGTGTTGGTATACCAGCACAGATATCATCATCATGTAGCATTTCCTTTGTCCTGACAAAAAAACCTCGGTCTCTCACCAGCTCTCCCGCCTCATGTACTTTTTTATACTCAAGGAGTCACTTATATCCTGTGCCCATCTTCGTGCTGGTCGGCCCCTGAGCTTGATATAGTGTTTGAAATTTTTTTTAGGGCTTGGTGGTAGAGGGCAGCAAACTGAAGTCCTGTCTGTTCTGGACCTGGTACCTGAGAGGGTTAGGGGAGAGAGAGAGAGTCATGAAGAGAGAGGAAGACACATGCTGAGGTAGGCTGGGAGAGACAGTGTAAAGATGGACAGATGGAGGTAGAGAAAAGAAGGAAAAGAAGTCTGGGGAAGGAGGAAAAAATGAGAGGGAGGGATGGAGACGATGAAGAAAAGTGGGGAAGGGACAGCGAAAGACAGAGAGGGAGACAAATACAGAAAGAGGGAATGCAGATACAGAGATGGGCAAATGAAAAGAGAAGGAAAAAGGGAACAAAACAGAGATATGGAAGGAGGAAAATATGACAAAGAGTTGAAAGAAGGGAGACAGAGGGAGAGAGAACGGACAGGGTGAGAAGCAGATGCAAGCAGAGAGAGATGTAGACATAAAGGAGAGAGAGACAAAGGGACAGCACAGAGAGGCAAGCAGACAGAGGGAGAGAACCAAAGAAAGAGAAAAAAGGCAGAACAGGAGAATGGGAGGGAGGTATACAAAGAGGAAGTGATGAAGGGAGGCAAACAGACATAAAGCAAGAGAGAGAGAGAGAGAGAGAGAGAGAGAGAGGTGGGTAAGGAAGGCAGTGACAAACACAGATTAAGAGAGAGGGGCAGGAAGGAAGACAAGATACATCAAAGAAAAAAAACAGCCACCTACTCCCCCCCCCCCCACACAATTTCAAGTGTAGTGGACACAACCACTAGGAAAAGGAAAAGAGTTATAGGGCAAAAAAATACGTAGATGAACCAGTAAAAAATGGGGGGGGGGGGGAGGAGAGAGAATGAGAGAGGGGAGCGGGTAAGGAAATCTAGAGAAAATGAAAAGACAGGATGGAGAGGAGACAAAGAAGAGATGGGACAGGAGAAAGGGCAAGGAAAGGAAGAGAGGAAGAATGGAGAGAGAAAGGAGAATAGTAGAAGATCAAAGGAAAGAGAAGGGGTGAGAGAAGAAAGGTAAGACACGGTTGTGGGGGTGGGGGGGTGGGGTGTAAGAACACTGAGTGCCAAAAATAGAATTAGGAAATCTCTAAGTGAGGCCACTTTTCCGGTTCCTACCCTCTCCCAATGTGAATGTGGCCGTGGTCCAAAAACAACTGTGCTAACCCCTACTGCCCCTTGCTTGTCCTATCTGTGTGTGACAACAATAATTCAATTTCTTACACTTAAGGCTGGTGACCTGAGAGCCAAGGTCATTTTATGAAGGAAAAAAAAGTCCAGGGGATCCCAACCCACCACTGGTAGAAAATAGAGAAGTTTACCCACACACATAAATAGGTCAGACACATAAATAGGTCAGGGCAGCAGTGGACTTAGTTTTATTTCTGGTTTTCCAATTACAGAAAGGAGGGGAGAGAGGAGGTGGTGGAAAGTGGTGTAGAAGGCTGAGGTGGTAAGGGTGAGACAGAGGAGGTGAGAGAATAAAGTTTAAGAAAATAAAGTGGGAATGAGACAGGGAGAGAAAGAAGGGAGTAAGAAATAAGATGAGATATAGAGGGAAGAAGGTAGCAGGAAGGGGTGCACTCCCTCCCCTAGGTGTCATCAATGTGGGAGAAGAAAAAAAAGGGGGGTGACGGCAAATGTGTTTTTAAAAGTACACATATATGTGTTTTAATGTGTGATGGGGGGAATGGTGGACATGAAATGTTCTGCACTAGGCAACACATAACCTTCTACACCAACTGAAGGTATGGAGAAAGAAAGAGAAAGAGAGAGAGAGAGAGAGAGAGAGAGAGAGAGAGGAGAGAGGGAGATGAGTGGCAAATACAAAGAGAAAGAGAGAGAGGAAAGCAGTGACACAGACAGGCAGAGAGTGAGGAACAGGTAGGACAAAATGTGAGGGGGCGGGAAGGGAGATGGACAGAGATTAAGGCCCCTAGGAAAACAAACACATCAAAAGAAAATATCCACCATGTTCACACAGAATGCCCCCCCCCCCCCCCCAATACAACTTCCTGTGTACTTGAGTTGCTAGGAAGAGTTATGGAGCCGCACATTTACTAAACATTTAAACAAGAAATAAAATAGGAAAAAGGGGGAGGGGGGACAGGAAATGAGAGTCAATGGAAAGATAGAGAGAAAGAGAAGAAGATAAAGATCAGAAGGGAGGGTTAGAGACAATGCAGGAGACGGGAAGGAAGGAGCAATAGGTAGAAAAGTGAAAGAGGGAGGGAAGAGAGAGAGGGGTGAGACAACAGAAGAGGGAATCTCGGGAAATTACAATACTGATCGCCAAACACACTGTAAAGATAAATCCAGGCCAAAAATAGAACTGGGAAATCCAGCTGCAGTCACTTTGCTTAGCCTCAATGCCATCTCTCCATTAATAGAGAAGGCCGCTGTGCTTAGCCCCCACCACGGCGACTCTATTTATAAATACAACTGAACCGAGCCCCACCATCTCCCAATGTAATCCTTTCTAGAAACCACGACCATAAACGATTTATACTGTTCACTCCCTAGAAACAAAGGCACACACACACGCGCGAGACGGAATCTACTACTTCCCGCCCCATGCCACACCGCTGCTGTCTGCATGTATTCATGATCTGCAACACAGCCCGCCCTCCCCTGGCCTTTAACAAGCCATTTCGGCTGAAAATAGCCAATAATCAGCTGCCCTCACACCTGAAACGACCATACAATGAAAGTAGCCAAAAACTAGCCAAATGGCTAAAAAAGCCAAATGGCTCCCCCAAAATTGCCTGTGCTGAGAAACACAGGATTTCTGACGATTTCATTGCCACGGTCAAAATTCACGGCTTTTCAAGGTCGGAATGTCTTTTATAAGCTAAAATTCACGGTTCAAGGTCAACGAAAAAAATCCCGGTAATTTCCCGATCCACTACGAACCCTGAAATATGCAAACTGATTTACTAAATCTGAACAGAAACTTTTGTCCTTGTTAGTCTGCACCACTAAAATGATTACAAAAAAGTAAAGGTGTATAGGGCTAGACATATTTTTAAGGACTAATCAGCACAAGATGGTTGATAGGGTCAGCATCACGCCAGCCGCCTTTACTTCCTGAGACTGCACCCATACCCACTCAAGGTTGGGTCAACTTGGAAGTCAAGGTCAATGTTGAAAAAAATTATAAAATGATTACAAAGCTAAGCATTAAACAGAGTTAAAACTCAGTTGAAACATTAATGCTCAGCAATGTGGGTCTTATCATCTCAGTAGCATTTCAAAATTAAACATCTAAAACAGTACAGAAAATACTAGATCATCTTAAATTTATACCTGCTGAATTGTTGTGACACTGCTCCCCCAGCCAGGAAATGAATAGATGAGTTTGTTTGTATGAATGTTCCATAACTGCAGGGAACCTTGCTTACTGCCCAGTAGAATCTTGTTCACATAAGTATGAGGATGTGCTATAGCTGTCACTGAGAATGCTTCGGGGTCAAACTTCATCTGAAGGTACTTTTCTGAAAAGCAGGTTACAAGTGAGAATCTGCTTTGTAACCAAATAATGGGCCTGTCTCTTTTCCCCAAAGTAATTTAAAAAAAAAAGAATATGACCCAAAAAAAAAGAAGCCATCTTAAATTTCAAACAAATCACAAAATCTTATATCTAAAGAAATTTAAAAACACTGTGCCCTGTCACACAACAAAGCTTGTGCTACTAGCAGCCAAGGATATGAATACATCCATCTTATTCTCCTGATTGTGGACTCCAAATATTATCCCTTCCACCAATTTAAAAAAGCAATTCAAATGAAATAATTCTAATAGTAAGGAAAAATTGGTATGGTCTGGTCCATGTTATTTTAAATATCAAAAGAGATGATTAAGTGGATGTGAATTAAAGCACTCTCTGACATTTCCATAAAATTTAAAGATAAAGGCCAATAGCCAGTCCTTTGCATGCCCAAGTTGTTCAACAGCTGTGCTGTTAATGATCACAAGCCTCTAAATAAAACAGGTTTAATTAGACATCAAATGTGTAATAGTTTACAAGACTATGAAACAAATGTGCCTCAGCAGCATTAAAATGATGGTAGAAGCTGCTGTTGCTCTCTGTAATTACTTTCAATTGTATCTGATTACTGCCACAGAAAGATTCACTCTACTGGAGCATTATGTGACAAATAGTGAAACATGCCATAAATTCTATCAGCAATGACCAGATGTGCTTGAACAGGTTAAACAGGCAAGCGTTCAATGAAAACTATTCCCAACAAAGGAATGTAGCTAACATCAATTGTGCTAGAACAAATAATATTATGAACTGCAATAAGAAACAGAATGTTAGCACAAGTATATTAATGTGCTGTGCAGCTGACCGCTGGAAAGCAAAAGCACTTCAAGGTCCACTATAGAACTGCTGCAAATACAATGAAAACTTTTCAGAGAATGAAGCAAAGGCAGCAGTCACAGCAATGCTCAGATGTTTATCTATCAAAAGCCCCATGTTAATGAGTTAATATAAATGGCTGAGCTAACGGCATATCAGATCCTGAAATCTTTTCCCAGATCATAATGGAGTCATGAGTGAGATGACATGCTGATTTTAAAGGTAAAACTGTTGGGGATGTAACAGAAAGCCTCATCAATTGTTTGTCAGGAGGTAGGCTATTGCGTATTAGTTGAAAGGAGTGAGGATCAACAAGACTTGGCAGCCTTGACATTCCCTTTCTAGAACCATCACTTGTTTATTAGAGACATATTTTGCAAAATAGTCTAGTGATATAAATAGTATTTGATGTCATGTTTTTAAAGGTGCCCTATCAAAGAAAGACAGCCTTTCTGGAAGACCATAGGAGGCCAAATGTCAATCAAATTAGTATATTTAGGTATGGAGCTATCTGATATAAACAAGATGCAATTAGGAAATCCCACGTGGAGAACCTCGATAGTAAACAAGTTTTAACATACTAGAACCTTCCAGAAGAAGTTTAATGAGTAGAAAACACATACCACGCATGCCAGTATTTCAGTGTAAATGGTGGGTGAGAAACCACTTGAGCAATCTTCAGGTGTCGAGACTTTGAAGAGGAGGGACTAGTAGCATGGACTACCACAAGTTAGGAAGAATCTTCAAATTCAGTCTATGAAATTTAGAAGAAGAGGGACTAGTAACATGGACCCTCAAAGAAGTCACTAGAGAGGAGACAGGGAACAAGACATCGATCTACAGAGACAACAGACAAGATACATGGATCTATGTTCAGCAGAGACACATTTGAGGAAACATTACCAAAATGTTAGAGTCGACAATTAAACCATTAGTACCAGACATCACTAGAAACCAGGCGGCAGTTATAGATAAGAACCAGTTCTCAAGTCAACAGAGATGAAGAACACAATGCGACATTATGAGTATATAACCATAGAGAAAAATCAGTTGTCATTCAGAATACTGCTGATTTAACATATTTAGAGATGAAAAGACAGTACATGGAAAAAAATAGTTGTCTGAAGATATTTTTTATGCAAGCATCAGAGAGACTGAGTAGCATGCAGCTAGCAAGACATCATTATCATTACCATTAGCGACACTACCTCACTTATACTCTTCAACTGATTCCTCCTATAGCAAACCAAATGATGAAACTGGGTATGACATTTTAAAAAAAGATAGCTGTGATACAGTGAGCTGTAGACAAATCATAAATATTATCACTAGCAGGAACAATTTACCTTCAGAGCTTATTTCCCAAACAATAAGAAATCCATCACCATCAATTGAAATCAAATGAGGTCCAAATGGAAGAAGAAGAATCACATCTGTATTATGACCTTTATAGGTCTTTTCAATCTATAATAAATGGTACAAGAAAGTTAGAATAATCATGTGCATACAATAACATTTGTAAACACTTTAAAAACACAATACCTCCTTAAAAAACATATATGCAAACACAGTAAGTAGGGGTCGTGTAATTTAGGTCAGTGAAGTGGGCTTGGAAATGTGTAAGATATGTTGGCTCACACACATCCACCATTTACAAGAAAATGGTTATAATGACCATGAATATACTATTTTGCTATGTCCATGATTAAAATATTCAATTTTTTTTAAAGCGGCAATTTTAAAATCTTAATAATGGATTCAGAGATTGTATGGTTTACTAATCCTTCAGTAAACCCACTGCAGAATATCTGGATGAGACCCGGTAATGATGTATCTGAATCTCCAAGAGGTGCGGTTTCCTCACTGTGCAAGCTCCTAGGCCCATTTAGACTAAAACGGGCATCAGGACTGTACAAAGCTTTCTTCAGCTTTTATCGCCCACATCATCTTTCTACTGCTACTGCGCTCATCATCCATCCATTCTGATCGCTTTAAAATCAGTATAATTACTGATACTAAACATGCATCATTTTGCGAAAATGTGTCCTTTGCTTTCTAGAACTTCCATTTTCTGTTAGACAGAAGTTAAGTATCAGCATCTGCTGTAGATGATGCCTGGAGTAATGTTCGGTACTGGCATTGGCAGACAGCATTCCAACATTTCATGAGTGACTGTTGATGGCCAAAAACAGTTGGTTTGTTCACTGTGCATATGCAATTTCACCTGTGGGAATTGGGTGACACTCCTAAAAAATACTGATAACCCCCCCCCCCCCTTTCATATCTTAAGGCTTATTAATAAATTTCTTATTGAAGTCTTCAAAAGACTTGTTGAGACAAAAAAGGATATTTGGTTACACACGATTTTTTGAGGTAAGCATATTAACGACATCAGAGAAGGTGAAAACTTATCTTGGGATGCTTACCAGAAAGTTGCTATAAAGTTCAGAAAAGAATATAGCTCACCAAATTACAAAAATAGCCACTTCTAATGTTAAAATGTTTTACAGTAAAAAAGATACTTAAAACACCAACCATTTTCAAGTTTTTATAAAATCTTATGTCCTCATTTATATTCTTTTCTTTTGACTTCAATGGCTTTCAAACCATACTATGATGTGTACTAACTGTCACAGATGACAAGAACAGATGATTATTAGCATAATGTTATAAAATTAAACGACTAATAAAAACAAAAATCGTGAACCACTACCTTCTTATTTCTTTTCACAGCAAACACATTGTTTCCTGCTGCTGTAAAGATGAAACGATGATCGGCTGCAAGGACACTAATATCATCTGGATGGAGATCACCTAAGATTGAGAAATAGAAAACAAAACAGTAATGCCTAATCCTTGTTTACCTTTGACATTTAAACTGTGTTGATTTCACTAGAATATTATGTCTTTCTACATACTGAAAATAATGTATTTCCCTAATCTAAATCTCTTTTGATAATTATTGATTCTTATTGTGTTACAGTGTTCCAATCCTTCAATACCAAGTTACATGTTCAATCCTTCAGTACCAACTAACTCCCTAAGCATCTGTTTCAGCAAACTAGATACTTGTCTGAACTCCAAATGATCCATCCTGTTGATACACACACTCACTCTGCTTCATCAGTACATACTTTTCTGAAGCACTGTATTTCAACTTATTAGATGCAAACATTGTTTCCCAATAGTAACAATTTCCTAAAATAGAAATTAATACCCTCTGCTTGGGACTGAACAAGTTAACCAGTCAATATACTCAGTGGACTATATATATTTGGCTAGATGAAATAAGTAAGTAAAGGACCCTTTTCCACGCCTTTAGGCATATAGGGCTAGACCTATATTTTTATAGACCAATCAGTACAAGATGGGTGATGTGGTCAGAATTACGTGGGCCCTCTTTACTTCCAGGGACTGCAGCGGGTATCCACTCAAGGCTGTCGACCTGGGAGCCAGAGTCATTTTTGAAAATAGTCCTGCTCCGCCAGGGAGCAAAGCCACGACCTTCCGATCCGCGGTGAGCGTCTAGCCGCTCGGCCATGGCGACTCCCCTAGAATAAAAATAAGCTTTGATGAATCAAAGAATGTCATAGTCAAGAACCATAAAGACCACATTCAGAAAACCACTAAGGGACAAAATACATTCTAGATCGTACAAAAAGTTTCTGGAAAATATGGGACCAAGACAGTCTAAAGATACATGGACATATCACACTGTACTTACTGACTGCAACAATCCCAAGTTTGCTCGCCTGAAAAAAGAAGAATAAACACACAAAATTATTATATCAGCCAGAGGCTACAAATGTGCATGTAACTTGAATATTTACCAACATAAACAGTATTTAACACACACATTTTGAAAACTCTCAAAAGCTTACTCCCACAATAAAAGATGTCCATTGTAGTGACCTATCAGGAGAAGGCAAATTGCCTAGGAGCGGCTTAGTGTAAAATGGAACATTTGTTTGTATTTCTGTGTCTTTCCATTTTTGACCAGACAGCTTAGTAGTAATTTGTTAACTTTTCAGTTCAGCTTGCCAGGTTACCCCCATCCCTTATTTTCAAGAGAAATGATGATGGGTGGCCTGAAGGAATATTATGTGCATCAATAAAACTGATTTAAACCACCAAGGAAGATCACCTGTTGAGAGAGACGATCACACACCGAGTAGCTTATGATGAGATGAAATAAATCAAGAATTTCAATTTGTAAGCATAATGTAGGCAACTCACAATCAGCTAATGACACTGTCTTCAAATTAAAACAAAGTGTTATAAAAACAAAGTGTAACACAGTTGTTTCCAGAACCATCATTTTGTTACGAGATTGAATAGTATGCAATTGAATAACCTAGCTATTACAAACGTCATGGCCTAAAAAAATGTGTACTTTCAATGATGTACCCTATAAACACCTTTTTCACAGTCTCCAAGAAAACCGTAGGAGACTAGTTGTTAGTCTAATTAATGAATTTCAGAGGAAGCAATGGGGAACTCTGTGGTGGTAGTAAACAGTAAATAATATGGACATGCCAGAATTAAACAATAGGAATCTATGTTCAACAAAGACACATTTGATGAAAACAGTAACGGGATGTATATATATAATATATATATATATAGTATATATATATAGTATATAGTATTATTATATCAGAAACCAATGAGCTATTAACCTTTTGGCTCAGCCTTGATTTCATGACAGATACCATAAATCTGGGAGGAATGTGGCTTTTCTGTCTTCTGGGCTTGAACCCAGACCCAGCAAGCCGGGCACCGATGGCAGGATAAGGGTTTTAACTAGAGCTGTACCGAATATTCGCTTCGTATTTGCTTCGGGGCCAAATAGTGGAGCTAATTACTATTCGGTATTCTGCCAAATACTTACGGTCGGGTCGAATTCGAATAGTGGTTACCTTACACCCGTTTCTGCATACACTTCGATTGACTGAAATAACTCTCTTATTAACACAATAGTTGCTGTTGACTAAGTCTGTCGTAGGGGGGAGTTAGTAGTAACTGCAACCCGGTTGCGTGGTAGAACAACCTTTAGTTAGTGTGACAGATCATGTCACACCACCCAAAATGTTGACAAAGCCACTGGAGCAAAGCAAAAAGATGAGGTACCTGGCTGCTGGTAGTTAGTACTCGATGGTTGGGTGATGGCAGAACCCCGGTTTAATATATTGCTGTGAGTCCTGAACAATCAGTAGGTAGGCCAAACAATTTGAGGCCTTAGAGATGTGGTTTTACAGAAAAATGCTTTAAATACCCTGGACAGCCAAAAAAAGAGAAAAGGAACCAAGTGGTTTTGAAAGAGACAAGAGCCACATGACAACTTATCACAGACATCAGAAGGAGACAGTAATTAATTTTCGGCCATGTTATGAGAAGAGGGAAAATGGAACATGTGGTGACCACTGGAAAGATCTGTGGAAGGAGGGAAGGGATAGAGAAACACAACGAGAGAAGATTCTTGACAGTCTTGTTGCATGGCATGGAGGTGTGTCAGCACACTAGCTGATACATGCTGCAGCAGATCGCGGAAAGGCCCACACCAGTAAGCAAGGCACATGATGATGACGATGATACACTATTCGTATTCAGCCACTAATTGGTCCCGCTATTCGTATTCGACCGAATAGTGAAAATCTCTATTCAGTAAAGTCCTAGTTATAACCAAATGCCTACAAAGACAATGAGCAGAAAGACAGACAAACTTTTTAGATTATTACCTTTTATTACCATAGAATCAGTTAGCATTCATAATACAGTTACCGTTGATGTTATACAACCACAAATCAACCTCCACCTACAAAAAGGTGTAGACTTTAAAACCATCACCGTAAGCCAACAGTTTATCCTGTCCAAATTTCTTGACTCACTGTTTCTGTCCAATATTTACTGCATGTTTTATTTTTTATTGTTTATTGTTGTTGACCATCTTTAAGGTTAGTTTAAAAATAATTTTAAATATATAGAGAACAATTAAATGGGCCAGTTGCCGAATTAGTATTATCTGATGCATTTAGGTTAACTCCACGACATAGCATTAAATTCTGTGGCAAAGCGTGGGCCCTAATCATCACTAGCACTATCGACACAACCATTTTCCTCATCTATATTCTCCCAATTGATTCCTCTGGGTTGCACACAAAAATGAACCTGGTTCACAAACATATAAAGAAGAAAGACCTGCTGCATAATGACAATAGTTACAGAGAGTTACTGTCTTCTTACATGTTACAAGTATACTTACATTATAAACATGAAATGCCTGTCCCACACATGTGACAATGTAGTTGTCTTTGTGCCGTTTGTGGTAACGTGTAACAAGAGGAATGTGGTTGCTAACAAATCCTAATGCCCTGTAGCCAGAAAATATTTTGCTTGGAGCAAGAGCCATTTTACCTGGTAAAGAAAATGAAAGTTAAGAAAAAAGAGCGATAAGTTGAAAACAATCTTATAACAATGAGCAAAACTTTACACAATCAATAGATAAAAATAATAAATGTGTGAATAGTTGAATACAATTTATTTCTATCAAAAACTGGTTCTTTCCCAATATCCCCCCCCCCCCCCCCATGACGTCACAGGACAGTCCAATATTTTCTAGGGTAGGAGCGGGTATCCTGCTGTGTGTGTCTTTTTTGTGGAATAGTTTACAACTGTTGCCAAGGTGTTGGCTCTTCTTCTTTCGGCGGGCGTCTCTCAAGAGACTTGTCTTGTGTGTTTAACTGTTTAGTCTTCTTTGCCAGGAATTTCCTGGAATTAGCAGCATCTGTGCCTGACAAGGAGACCAGTGTTGCTTTCCTGCCACATTATGGCATTCTGCACAGCATCAGACGTTGTCGCAATAATCATGCATATTGTTATCACTGAAGGAAAAAGGGTACCTACGTTCTCAAAAACAAAACAAAAAGTCAGCTGCCGGTGACATCAAGTGTTCTATATATTCTAATTCTATGATGTAAGCGCTTTAAACTTTAAACGACCCCAAAACCCTAACCACAATGAATTTCTTTCTTTTTTTTTTTTTTTAAATGAGAAATTCAACTATGATAGTTGCGTTATTTTTTTAAATGAGAAATTCAACTATGATAGCTGCGTTATTTTTTAAAAACAAATTCAGAAAATTTGACCTAAGTCAAGTCAGTTAAACTGTCACGACCCTCCGCAGCTGCTTGTCTGTGGGTCGGTTGAGACATAAATAATTAATAGTCAGATGTGAGATACATACACTGTATGATACAAGACCACATAAACATAACAGTACAGTATGATAACACGTGCTATTAAAGATGTTATCAAGCTTACTTTCGCGAAATTAGTTTTAATTTTAACAAATAAAACAAAATAAACTCACGAAGTGTTGTTAAATTACTGTTCACTACTTGTATATTTACTCCCTAGTAAAACTTGACAGATAAAGTGTACAAACCATGCAGACACAGTGTACACACACCTCTAGATACTAGCACAAGCAGTCAAAAACAAACATTGCCAGGTAGTCTATAATATTTCAGTCCAATAAATGCAATCCAAATATAGGTAGATAAGCTTCCTATGGGTTATTTTGCGAATTTTGATTAGTTTTTTTCTGTGTCTCGACCGCGTCTAATTTTATGAAGACAAGTGTTTTAAAGTAGTTTACACGCAGACAGGAATCCATCACCAAAAACAAAAAGTAGTGTGTGTGGGGCGGGGGGATGGGGGGGGGGGGGGGGTCCTTAGCCCGCATTCATTTTCATGATTTCTGTTTTTTTTTTTATTTCCCGATGTTGATCTTCATGTTGTTTTTGAGACAGCTATTGTGGAGTATGTTCATGTAGTTTGGTTGGTAGTTAACTGGTGCTGTTTCTTCTAATTTGGTAATAAAGTCCATATAAATAACGAAAAGCAAGGGCGATAGAACATATCTTTTTCTCACTCCAAATATTACTGGAAACCAATTTGTGGTTTCGGCTCTTGTTCTTATGGCATTTTCACTTCTACGATACGTGACTCCTATACAGTCTCACAATGTACCTTTTTCGCCATAATATTCAAGAACACCCCAACATATTTCCCTGTTTGCTCTTTCGAATGCCGTTTCCTGATAAATATATTTGGGTATTGTAGACCACTGCCTTCTCTAAATATAAATAGAGAAGGCCGTGTGTAGACTTACCTGTCTTCGGATGGCTACAGTATGCATTAATGCGAGTGTATACTAGATATGCTGAGACCGCAGCCTGTCAATCTTTCCACAAGGGACTGTGATAAACATTCTGTGTGTTTTTCGTTGGCACAGGAGCGGAGCAAAGATGGGGTGACCCGTTTGCTATGAAGCTGAAACTAAGACTACCTGTCTTTTATACTGATGCGTAATCATCTCACAAATTTTCTAGGGGACATCCTTTCACTACCACCCTTTATAATTTCCTAAAATGGTTGAAGGGGGGGGGGGGGCTCCGGTGATCCTGTGTACACACTTTGCATAGTAATTTGAACATTACCTAAGATAGCTGCGTATCCATTACAGGACATTGTAGAACCAACCCCAGCATTTTTGTGGCTTTAGTTTTACCGGGCGATTTTACTTAGTAGTAGTAGCAACAGCAGTAGTAGTAGTAGCGGTGGTAGCAGTAGTGGTAAAAGTAGAAGTAGCAGCAGCAGTAGGAGTAGTAGTAGTAGTAGTAGTAGTAGTAGTAGTAGTAGTAGTAGTAGTAGTAGTAGTAGTAGTAGTAGTAGTAGTAGTAGTAGTAGTAGTAGTAGTAGTAGTAGAAGTAGTAGTAGTAGTAGTAGTAGTAGTAGTATTAGTGGTGGTAGTAGTAGCAGTAATAGTAGTAGTAGCAGAAGTAGTTGTATTAGAAGAAGTAGTAGTAGTAGAAGAAGAGGACGCAGTAGTAGTAGTAGTAGTAGTAGTAGTAGTAGTAGTAGTAGTAGTAGTAGTAGTAGTAGTAGTAGTAGTAGTAGTAGTAGTAGTAGTAGTAGTAGTAGTAGTAGTAATTACAAAATTGAAGTATGAAATTTGAGTGTCTAGGCACATGTAAAACATCCTATGTAAGATATATCACATAGATAATAAACAGAATAGGACAGATCAAAACTGCCTTTGATAATATGAAGAATATTTTGTGCAGTCAATTCATGTCATCAGAGGTTAGGAAAAGAATTCTCGCCAGTTTTAACATACGGCTGTGAATCCCGAACAATTAATAGAACATTGGTCGATGCCTCTGAAATGTGGTTTTACAGAATAATCTTCAGAATTCCTTGGGCAGTTAAGAAGAGCAACCAATATGTTTTGAAAGAGGCGAGAGCTTGAAGCAACTTATCACAAACATCAGAAAGAGGCAGTCTTTATTTTTTGGTCATGTTATAAGAAAATGACAACTGGAACATGTTTTGACCACTGGAAAGATTTGTGGAAAAGGAGAGGGAAAAGCGCAAAAAGATTCTTGACAGCCATTTGATTGGCTGGATCTGTCCCACTGGGTGGTGAATTGATACATGACAAGGTAGATGTGGTCAAGGTCCTTTGGGGACAAGCAACGGAATCAGTAGAGAAAGAAGATTATTATGGCCTGGAGAGAATGCGGCACCTGGGTGTAACCATAGGGTCCCGTCGGCTCCATACACTCAGAGGAAAGGCAAGACTGACATATAACCAGATTGTGACCGGTACCATCAGTATTGGAACTCTGCGCTGGCTGCTGAAGATGAGGAAGGAGCAGCCATGGGAATGCCCGAGTGGTATAATGTCAATTCTTGACTCAACTCAACTGACAGCCATTTGTCATGGCATGGAGGGGTGTCAACACGCAGACTGATACACACATTTGCGGATCGCAGATTGTTGAGAGGCATGATCGCCCACACCAGTCGGCAAGGCACTTAATGATTAGCAGTAGTAGTAATTTAAACACTATCGTGCTCAGCCTATCCAGGTTATAATTAGGATAAAAGGAGTTTTTGTTCTATTTTCAATAATGGATATTTGTGTCTACTAATTATGTTTGATTATGCAATATAGAATATCTTATGTATTAATTGTATACTATTGCAGAAGTATAAATTGTCACATTCAGTATATTTTAAATGTTCTTTCGGACAATTATCTTCTTATTCTTCTTCAGCCTTCCGAGCCCTTGCGGTTCATTGCTGCAGATATTACCCGCCACCATTCATCTCTCTGGTTGGCCTTCTGGGTTGTATGCGTGTGTTTTTTTTTACAGGTATCTGTATGTATGCAGGCATGTATGTATGTTTGTGTGTAAGTGAGTGATTTGGCTTGTGTGTGTATGTAGGTGTGTGTGTTCGCGCGTGAGCGTGCGCACATATTTTACCACCCATGCTTTTGTTTTTGACTTTTTTATATATATATATATATATAATATGCATATTATTACATAAATATAAAATGCTTCATTGATGAAATACAACTGCTGTGCGAAAGATAGAAGTTTGGAAGGGCCGAATGTAAGACAGGCCTGCGTGCCTAATTTGTAACCCTTTGAAAATAAAGTTCGTTCGTTCCTTCTCTTTCCAGTTGGTGACATCAAATGTTCGCAGGTCTGTCTGGACGTTATCTCTCCATTATCTTCTTGGTCTGCCTCGTGGTCTATGACCATTCATCTCCCTTGTGTAAACAGTTTTTACTTCTTTGTCATCTGATATTCTTTTAAGGGGACATAATTCCACTACCACCCTTTATAATTTCCCCCAAAAATACAGGTAAATAAAAAAAAAGTCCAATATCATTCATTAAATTAATACCCTACTACAAAACTGCAAATTATAAACAAAAGTCAGTTTAGTTGCAATAAGGCTGCTCAAACAACGGAAACATGTCAAGTGGTGGTCAGCTTTACAAAACTGCAAAACTACAGAGGTGCTTGTGGCGACAATTAGTGTGAAACAGCAATTTTTAACACATACACACACATACGCGCGCACACACACACACACTCACAAACATACGCACACGCACGCTCTCTCGCGCGCGCACACACTCACAAATGGCATAAAAAGCAAATTAATATTTTCCCCCATTTATATATTTTTAAATTATTAACACAACAGTTTATCTTCCGGAATCGTTGTCTAAAATACTGACACCTAGTGACTCGAAGAGTCCTTATTGGAATGCGAATCGAACAGAAGCAAATCCCAGACAACGCGTTTAATCGTATAGTATAGTAATACAACTGGGGCACTCGACGGTTGCCAAGGAACTTGCTGTCTGGTCTAATTGCATTGGTCATAAATCTATGTAAAATTAAAATGGGATCAACCGGAAACAAGAGGATTCGGGAAGCAAGAACGTGCAGGGCAAACCTTGCGAGTAACTTTTAAAGGAGGCCAGAGATGCTGGTCTGGATTCCATAGTTACTTACTTAGTCGCTCCTCTTCTACCTTGGG